ACTTTGATTTTGGTTAAGGTAGATTATCATTTACAGTGTAATCAGTGAGGGGATTCTGCAGACTGTTGAGGGTTCAGCCTCCTGATGAGTCGGTGAAACTCCGACGAAACAGTTTGTCACAGGCCCTCGTTTGTTGTCCTCTTCTCTCTCTCTGCCTACGGTTTACCGGGCAGTTCCTGTTTGTGACGATATATATATATATATATATATATATATACCGGGCAGTTCTATTTGACGATATATATATATATATATAATATTGCTTGTGAGGTTGACGAATGAGGAACATTGAGAAATAGCGCAATACAGGACTTATGGAGGCGAACGAGGAACATTGAGAAATAGCGTGGTACAGGACTTGTAGAGGAAATAGAGCTTTTTACTACGGGCAGGAAGTTTTATATCCCGGCCTTGGCTTTGCTGTCGCTAGTCCAGTGCTCACCTCGCGCATGCCAAACATTTCTTCAGTAAATCGTTCACGGTGTGCGATCAGTTGGTTGTCGGTCGCTTCCGGCTTCGTTGTGTCAGGGGTGTGTGTTTGTCAGAGGGAGAGCTCCTTAGGTTGTCTGTTTGCTCAATGGTTGATCGGCTACTTATTGAGCTAACCAATGCAACTATTGATTGATGATGAGGTCATCTTATATATGTATGCCAATTACGCTTGCGGAGACCGCAGGGGAGTGGTTTCCATCAGTCACTCAGTAGTTTGATCGATCAATCGATCAGTCCCTCAGTCAGGCAGTAAGTCAATCGGTCGATCAATCAGTCAACCAGTCGATCGTTTCGCAGTAGGGTCGCAGAGCCAAGATGGTGGTCTGATTTAGGTTGAAAAAAGGAGCCTGGTGGTGTGGCTGTCATCGAGGTCCGTCGGTGGGGGGGCGGGGTGGGGGGGAGGGGGAGGGTGTTTCACTGGTCAGATGTGTACATTCAAGGCCCTTGTATGTTTCATATATAATCCTTATGGCCTTCTCCGGTAAAGGGACTATCACGACTCGTATTGATTGATGGTGGTGGTGGTGGAAAACCGGACTGCAGCTCCGCAGAATGGAAGGAGAGTCCTGTTTTCTCCTTTTCGTTAAAGGATCCGGATTGCTGCTGCCCAGAATGGAAGTCGCGGGTTCAAATCCCGTTTTTCCCGTTTTTTGTTTCATTCCTAAGGATCCTTCGTTTTAGGGCGTAGCTACCTACCTACCTCTGCCTGGTGCTTTACCCCTCTCGTGTCCCGTGTCCGAGATGTTTACATAGGTACCGTAACGTTGTGTGTGTCGCCGAAGTTGCTGTTATGTCTTCTTAGCGAGGATGTTGATGGCCTGATCCGAATGATCCATGTACATTTTTTTTTGTTTTTTTTTGTTTTTTTTTGTTTGTGTGTGTGTGTGTGTGTGTGTGAGTTGTGTGAGTGTGTGTGTGTGTGTGTGTGTGTGTGTGTGTGAGAGAGAGTTGTGTGAGTGTGTGTGTGTGTGTGTGAGAGTTGTGTGAGTGTGTGTGTGTGGACTGGATGCATTGCAATCTGATCCATGTACATTTTGCTGAAGTCGAAAAGGGTTCTGCCGACGAATTTGTCAACATTTTTTGTCGACAGCCAGATCGATCAATCAAAGCTACCGACGCTCGAGAGCATGCATATACAAACCTTATACATCTTTTGTCGACAGCCAGATCGATTAATCGTGGCCCGAGCTGGCGAGAAAGAAAGCGAAGGAAATGAAGAACGTAACCGAAAGGAGATATGTGTGACCACGGGGTTGGATCCCACAACCTTATAATGAAGGACATATGTGTGTCCACGGAGTGGTAACGATTATCCTCTTACCCAGAACACAACACACCCTTATTTTGGCAGTATCTGGCCGGAAATATAGCTTGTATACATTCATTTCTAGGGTGCGTTATGTTCGGGAGAAGACGCTAGTGTAACTGGAACAAGTCATGAATGATGGGTCTCCTGGAGAACAACATACGGTATGTGATTGTGTGATTGTGAATGTTCCCACGATTGCGCACGAGTATATCACTGTTGTAATTTTTTTGTCAGATAATATGTGTGTGTGTGTGTGTGAGTGGGGTTTTGCTATACTACTAAGGTCAATTAGTGGACATTGCCAGTCCAGTGCATATTTTCACCAGTGTGATGTTTTCTCGAATTTTTGGTTTTTGGCGTTTTTTGGAGCTGCCGGGTTCTTGATCGGGGCATCATACTATTCCCCTTGTGTATAGCAGAGTACTGGATGCATCGGCGCTACCTGTCGTC